TTCTTTGAGCATTTTGAAATTTTTTTCAAACAATATTCAAGATTGTCTCCAGACAGTTTTAAGAATCATCAAAATGATATAATGCTCAATTCAGCATTTCTGGAAGGATTAGATGAGGAGCTTGTAATTCTGATTAAATAACATGAATTAAACTGGGCAGCAACACATGCCGATAAACTAGCAACTCTGGCCGATCAATTATTTAAATTGGAAGAAAGGGATAAAGCTACTAAAATTATGAATTTACTGTTATTCTCTGAAGTATTCATCTCAGTCTGTTGAGATTTTGCTTCCAGGTAGTATCTTCTTTTTGGCTCAGATAAACTCTTATAAAAATTTTCTACAGGTTTAGATGTTTCTCACGTCGACACTCCAACTGTTGAGAGCAGAGCAATGTTTCTGTAATTAGAGCAAGTCCTGTCAACCTAAACCTTGCAATACCTTTTAGAAGAGGTTCCTTTATCATGTGTATCATTAAATAAATGTAGAGCATAACCATACAAGCCTAAAAGCAATTGTGTACCTGAGATGTCTTATATTAACAGACTGCTCTCTGCCCCTTTCCTTTTTATTCTTATTATTGATATTGGTTCTGATCTCTCTGCCCTGGTTTATGCCATAAAAACCACAGTTCAGAGCATCAACCACTACTCTTCACATCACCATGGAGCAATACTACCCCCCATACATCCATAAGTGGCTAAAAATAATTTGGCCTTGGGTTATGTGGTATATAACAAAGACACTGGGCAAGTGACCAATTCTAATTTCAACTTGATGTCACACTCTTGGTAATGCTAAGTATACCATGTCCTACCAAGCCAACATTACAAGATCCCGATTCATATAAAACACATTTCCAAACCTATTAATTTGCTATATACTCTTATGAAACATGACTTTTTTAATATTTTTATTGATTTCAGAGAGGAAGAGAAATGGAGACATAGAAACATCAATGCTGAGAGAGAATCATTGATCAGATGCTTCCTGCACACCCCCTACTGGGATTGAGCCTGCAACCTGGGCATGTGACCATGACCAGAATTGAACCTGGGACTCTTCAGCTGGAAGGTCGATGCTCTATCCACTGAACCAAACTGGCTAGGGCAAACATGATTTATTTTTAATTTATATAAACACCTTTTTAGAAATATATTCATATCCTGTTATCAAATCACCAATAAACCAATATTAAATTTCTGGATTAATTTCTTCCCAAAAGGAAAGCTAAAGAGACAGGGAAAATTCTAAATTTTTAAAAATTTATCAAAATCTGTCTTGGATTCTTGCCAACTTATTCTTAGCCTTTCTTTCCCTCTATTGTCCTCTTAGCTAAGAGAACCATTGAAAATGTTCTTACTCAAATTACACTCTGCAGTCAGGTGGATGTGTAGTGTAGCTGATAGTGGATGTTGCCACAAAACTGACCTAGATGTGAATCCTAACTGCCTAGTAGTAGCTGTGTGACCTTGAGCAAGTCATTCTCTTAGTTTCCGCCTCTCTAAAAAATAGCTAATCATAGTTAACACATATATAGTGCTTACCATACATATAATTCTTGTAACACCCCCTAGAGCAGTGGTTCTCAACCTTCCTAATGCCGCGACCCTTTAATACAGTTCCTCATGTTGTGGTGACCCCCAATTTCATTGTTACAAATTGAACATAATTAAAGCATAGTGATTAATCACAAAAACAATATGTAATTATATATGTGTTTTCCGATGGTCTTAGGCGACCCCTGTGATAGGGTCATTCGACCCCCAAAGGGGTCGCGACCCACAGGTTGAGAACCACTGCCCTAGAGGAAGAAACTGTCAGGATTGGGGAACCTTTTCTCTGCCAAGGGTCATTTGGATATTTATAACATCATTGGGGGGCCATACAAAATTATCAACTTAATATTTAGCTTCCTAGCTCTAGCCAGTTTTTCTCAGTGGTTAGAGCATCCGCCTGTGGACTGAAGGGTCCCAGGTTGGATTCTGGTCAAGGGCACATGCTCAAGTGTGGCCTCACTCCCCAGTGTAGGGCATGCAGGAGGCAGCCGTTCAATGACTCTCTCTCATCATTGATGTTTCTATCTCCCTCTTCCTTGCTCTCTAAAATCAATAAAAAATATATTACAAAAATAAAAATAGAAAAATTAGCCTGCTAGACAATAGGGTAGTGAAAGCCTGCGGCAGAGGGTGGGGGCAGGCTGGAGGGGGGTCAATGGAGGAAAAAAGGGAACATATGTAATACTTTCAACAATAAAGATTTTTTTAAAAAATTAGCCTGCTAAAGGACCTAAATAGACACTTCTCCAAAGTGGACATACAGAAGGCCACAAGATATATTTAAAAATGCTCAAAGTCACTAATCATTCGTGTGAGTATTCCCATGTCCTGAGTGATTCAGGGTTCAGGATCTGGAGGAGGGGGCGCACGCAAATGAAAGAGACGAGACAAGAAATAATAATTTGGAAATATTGGGGGCCAGGCAGGCAAGCCCAATGCAAGAGAAAGGACTTCCACTGGTGCTCAGGCCTCCCCAGCCATTTATTCAACTTTGGATACACATCTAGCTCATAGTCACGCAGGTAATTGCAGTAACAGACAATCTTAAAGGTCAGTAAATATTAGAAGGATTTACTCTGAGACTATTTGATCAGGAAATAGCTTGAGCCCCCATTGTCTGGACTAGACAATCAGTGCATAACTCTAGCCCTTGCCATGAGTTCAAGGTTCACCAGCGTTCCCCGGATCCTTGTTTGCACTTCTCTGCTAGTGAAGACAAAGGGTGGCTTCCTGCAATCCAAGAGATGCAAATTAAAACAACAATGAGGTATCACCTCACACCTGTCAGAATGACTATCATCAATAAATCAACAAACCACAAGTGCTGGAGAGGATGTGGAGAAAAAGGAACCCTTCTGCACTGCTGGTGGGAATGCAGACTGGTGCAGCCACTATGGAAAATAGTATGGAGTTTCCTCAAAAAATTAAAAATGTAATTGCCATTTGACTCAGTGATCCCACTTCTAAGAATATATCCTAAGAAACCTGAAACACCAATCAGAAAGGATATATGCACTCCTATGTTCATAGCAGTGCAATTTACAATAGCTAAGATTTGGAAACAGCCCAAGTGCTCCTAAGAAACCTGAAACACCAATCAGAAAGGATATATGCACTCCTATGTTCATAGCAGTGCAATTTACAATAGCTAAGATTTGGAAACAGCCCAAGTGCTCATCAGCAGATGAGTGGATTAAAAAATTGTGGGACATTTACACCATGGAATACTATGCAGCGGTAAAAATGAAGGAACCCTTACCATTTGCAACAGCATGGATGGACCTGCAGAGTATTATGCTAAGCGAAATAAGCCAGTCAGAGAAAGATAAGTATCACATAATCTCATTCATATGTGGAATCTAAGTAACAAAATAAACTGGTAAACAAAATAGATCCAGAGACAGAGAAGCATGAAACAGACTGACCAATTTCAGATGGAAGGCGGAGGTGGGGATGGGGTGGGGAGAGATTAACTGGGAACATAAATTGAAATATGTAGCCCATGGACAGACAATACTGTGGTGAAAGCCTGGGAGGATAGTGTGTGGGATGGAGTGGGTCAATGGGGAAAAAAAACAAAGGGGACATCTGTAATACTTTCGAAAATAAAGATAAATTTTAAAAATTAGCCTGCTATAATTTGGCCAAACATTTAATTAACTCACCCCTAATGCCTTGGCAGGGCCAGACTAAATGATTTCATGAGCCAGATGTTCCCCACCCCTGCAAGCAACTGAGGCACAGAGAGGAAAATTGACTTCCCCAAGGGCACACGGCTGGTAACCTGAAGAGCCAAAATTGTAATGCAGTTTCCAGAGTCCAGGCTCTAACAACCACACGTACAGCCTCTCCAAATGAGGGCAATAAATGAGGCTGTACTTACTAAGGGCTGTTATGAGGATTAATGACATAATGTATGTAAAGCCCAATATATGACAAGTGTCTGATAGGTAGCAGTGTGTGTGTGTTATAGATTTTTCCTTCTGCACTTAGAAATCTGCATGGCTTTGTCTTGGGATAGAAAAATAAAAGAGGTTGGAGGAAAAAGAACAGAAGCCAGGGGAGAAAGGGGTGAGGTAGAACATGGAAGAGGAGTAGTGGGGTTGTGGGGGAGGAAGAAACTTCCCTCTACCTTTCTGGTTCCTTCAGCTGGTCTAATATTAAATAGACATGAGACTAACAAGAGAAAATAAATTTAATTACATATGTATGTATGGGGACCTCACATACATGAGTGGTTCAGAGACAGAAAGGAAAAATGAGGAATATATGGCATTCCAAGCTAAGGATGAGTAAAGTGCCTTGGGGCTTTAGTGGAGAGAAAGGTCATTCCCAGGCTGATAAGAGGAGCAGGTATTCGGTAATTAGAAGTTTGCCCTGCCTTATAGATAGATCATAAAAAGTCATTTCTGATGATAAGTCTTTTTATGTGCAAGGGCCCTAATTTAAATTCTTTAAAGGAGAGGTAAAAGTTTATCATGAACCTGCAGGGTCTCTGTTGTTCCCTTTAGCTCAAAATAGTCTGCATACCACAGAGGCACATCTTAGGGTGACTGGCTCTGAATCCTTACAGGGTAAACAAGAAGAGGATGGGGGTTAATGGAGGGGATGATGACACATTCGTAATTCCTTAACTAATAAAGAATTTAAAGATAAAAAAAAAAGAGAGAGAGAGAGGCAACCCTGAATACTTAGGAAACAAGAGTCTAACTGGCTGGGCCTGGAGGGAACAGGGTGACTCTTTCTCAACAGCAAACAGAAACTTGCCAACTGCAGAGCAGATGGCAAATCCGAGAGGCTTCCGACTCTGGAGGCCTCCTCCGCCCCACCCACCCCATCCACCCCACCCCTGAGGCCGCCAGGGCGACCCCACCCCTGAGGGCGCCAGGGGCGGGCCCGGCTTTCCGGGCCCGGCCGGGCGTCCGTTCCCCCTCGGGGCGGGCCATGCCCGCCCCCTCCGCCGAGAGCCCGGGAACCCGGGAACCCCAGGCCCGAGACACTTGGTGTCCCGGAGTCCCGGGCCGGGGCTCGGCTGGTGGGGCGCGATGGCGACATGGCGACGTGACGTCCGGCTGACTGGAAGCCAGCGGCTGCTGTGCGCGGGGCTGGCGGGCGTGCTCAGCTTGAGCCTCACCGCGCCGCTGGAGCTCGCCACCGTGCTAGCCCAGGTCGGCGTGGTGCGGGGTCGCGGCCGGGGGCCCTGGGCCGCGGGGCTTGGCGTGTGGCGAGCCGAGGGGCCCCGGGCTCTATGGAAGGGGAACGCGGTGGCGTGCCTGCGCCTCTTCCCTTACAGCGCCGTGCAACTCACTGCCTACCGCAAGTAAGGGCCGGGCGAGCGGGCGGGCGGGGCCAGGAGGAGGGATCGCTGGGGTTCCCGGGGTCAGGGCCCTGCCATGGGCCCTAGCCCCTTTTCCTGATCGCGTGGGAGCCCCTCGGAGCAGTTTGGCCAAAAGGTGACAACTAGGGCCCAGAGCGCAGTCCCCACGTTTGTCACGTGCTCTTGGAATTCCTGCCTCTCCAGGTGCGGTTTTGTGGGGGCAGCATTGGCCCAGAGAGGCTCAACGGGTTGGACGGGTGAGGAGGTGGAATGGGACAAAAGGAGATTTGGAGGACGGAGTGAAGACATCTCCACAGATGGCTCCTAACCATTCCCACCGTCCACCAACTTGGAAACTGCCTTGGCTAGCCTAGGAGAGACCCCTTAGAAGGCCTGTGTATGCAACTGTGTGTGACCAAAGCCCACAGAAGAAAGTGTTTGAGAGGGGCAGAGGGCTCAATCCATTGCCACAAAAAGGCCACAGATTTCTACACACATGCACATAAATGAAGCCTGCCTTTAGGGTCCAGCAGAGGCCAGAGCTTCTCCTCAGGCTCACTGGCCTCATTCTTTGTTAGGGCTTCAGGCTTACCTCAACAGCTGCTTCTTAGGAAAGGATGAGGCCAGATGAGTCTTAAAGCTTCCTCAGAGCTCAAAGATGTTTTCCTTTAAGCTGGAAACAAAGCCTAAAAGAATGAAATGGTAAGTGATGGAATTTCAAGAAGAGGGGATATTCCTATATTAGGAAGGAGAACACAGTGCCAACTCTGAAGACTGACCTGGTATCTGAATTAGACAAACAGCCCACAGTGTTGATCACATTGTTCAACCTTGGTGGCTAATAGTCAAAGAATTTTGCCTTTGACTCTGGGAGGGGAACACAGTGCTGTAAGGGAAGAGGCTCAGGCATGCCACCTTGTTCCCCTTCCAGAGCCGGAAGGCTCACCTGGCAGCTGACAAGCAAGATGTAATACTAGTATACACTGTGAAATTATTACCTCAATCAGCCTTATCACGGAGTCCTCCGGGCCAGGGCTCATTTCACCGATGCCTGGGAGTAGAGTTACCTTGTCTTCCTCTGGGAAGGGAAGGTAGTGAGAGCACCAGGCATTTCTGTCAAGGCTCTCTTTCCTCCCCAGCACTCCATTTGCCCTCAGCAACTTCTGGCCTAAAGTCTGTAAACAGCTGAGTTTTAATGGCTCATCTTCTCCCCACTTCACTTTCTTCTCCACAAAGCATACCCAGGGGAGAAAGGCAGACCTTCAAAGGCTGGTTTAAGTATTGTGGCTTTTCTGCTAACCACCTAGTATATATACATCATTTGATTTTTAAAACAGTTTTATTGAGATGTCATTGACACAAAAATTGTTTATATTTAAAGTGTACAACTGATATTTTATATACACTGTGAAATTATTACCTCAGTCGAGCTAATTAACATATATCACCTCTATAGAGTTATTTTATGTGTGTGTGTACATGCATGTGTACATCATTGATTTTTTAAAATTCCTGCCTCCTTCCCTGTAAGGTCCGTAGCATGAGAAATATGCCCATTTTACAGATGCAGACTTGTACTCAGACTGGCCATACCATTCGTCAATGACTGCTGGGCTTTCTGACTTCAAATCTCATATTCTACTACATCATGCTGCCTTTCTCTCTGTCTTTATTTCACATTAATTTAGCAAGTCTTCTTTAAGTAATCATCGTGTGCATTAATACTGGGAATGAGGCAAGGATGAAAGGGGCATGGTCCCTGTGCCCCAGAACTGAAAAGTAATAGAAGAATAAGAGTAGTGTGTCCATAGCGTGTGATTGCCATGGTTGAAGTGCTACAGAAAGAAAGACTTCCAATGAGGGATGAGGAGGAATAGATGTGAAGACTTCACAGAGGAGAAAAACCATCTGAGTTTGGTCTTAGGAGAATGAGTAGGAGTTTGCTGGGCAAAGATGGGGAGAAAGATATTGCAGGTAATGTCATGAGCAAAAGTGCAGGGGTGGGAAGGCATGTAGCATGACTGGAGCATAAGGTGTGTCTACAGCAGTAATGGGAAATACAACCAGAAAAGCAGGTTAGAATCAGATGTTGGAGGGTCGGGTTAAGGAGTATGGACTTTACTTGGTATGCAAGAGTAGCTATGGGAGTTTTTTGAGGGGGAAGTGCTCTGATTAAAGCAATTCAGCAAGAATAATTGTCACCTGGAAGCAGGGTAGGATGACTAGAGAGGAGGAAGACTGGAGAGGGGTGGCAGGACCAGTTAGGAACCTATTGCACTATTCCTTGTGACAGTTGAGGACACCTGAAATAGACTGGTGACAGTGGGAGTAAAGAAGATTTGATGCGTGGGAGAGGAAGAAGAGATAGTTATCGAGCTAGATTTGCTAATATTTTTTTCCCTTGCAAGATTTTCTTGGCTGGTGAGAGGACAATGGGGCGGGGCGGGGGGGGCAGGGGACAAAGAAAATATTGTTTTCTTTCTTGAAACTAGAAGGTAGTATTTCAGCGAATGACTAGGCATAGGTAGAAAGCAAAATGGTTGATTAATCATGGTGCCATCCTTCCTACATAAAGAAGATACTTTTGCTCCATCATTATACTGATTCATCTCTACTCTTTCCTGACCATGAATTTGTAAAATAGTTGGCTGGGGGTAAAGCTTATGATCATGGATTTCAGCAAAACAAACATCCCCAAATGTTCAGAGAATGGGGTGGTTAAATAATTTGTCCACAAACACAATTAATGACAGACCTGGAGCTTGAAACCAGGTCTTCTGGCTTCACAGTCCAGGACTCTGCCCACCATTGTGATGCTGAAATGTCTACTTGCTTGGGTTAATGATCAAAAGAGTCCGTTCAGGAGTGTCTATTAGGAGCTAGGTACTTGTAATAAATAAATAAAACCTAACACAAAAGATGGCTTTCAAATATATCAAATAGTAGGCCCTCATCGAACTTTACACCACAACTGCTCGTCTAGCTGTATAAGCATTGGTTTGGATCCCTACAGCTCTGAAATTGTTTATAACCAACACCAACTCCTTATTGTGTAATGACTTCATGAGCTTGTGTTTGGCTGCTAACCTGTATTAGGTCAAAGTGTTAGCAGTTCTAACTACATATATCCAGGGTGTGTGTAATATTTGTGTAGCTGAAAAGAAGGGGTTACTGCTGTTCACCAGCTTGTGGGGGTGGGGGAGAGAAGAACATAAAGGGGAACACTGGTGCCCTGGCCAATCAGACAAGATCTTAAGATGTGGGGACCAGGATGACATTATCGATGACCTTTTAGGGTTGCCTGCCTTGACTCTGTGATTCTAAGGGGAACCATTAGTGGTCATTTTCTCCATGTCAGATGGTCAAAGTTTGAGAAGAAGGGACTTCCTTTGGTTTTTACTTTTTAAAATATTTTTTATTGATTTCAGAGAGGAAGGGAGAGGGAGAGAGAGATACAAACATCAATGATGAGAGAGAATCATGGATCCGCTGCCTCCAGCATGCCCCCTACTGGGGATCGAGCCCACAAGCCGGGCATTTGCCTGACTGGGAATCGAACCGTGACCTCCTGGTTCATAGGTCGATGCTCAACCACTGAGCCACGCCAGCCAGGCTGGTTTTTTTCTTTTCATTTTGTGTATTTGATAGTAAGACATGACTTTATAAGGCAATCTGATATAAGACAGGGTTCTTCTTCCTAGTTCATCAAGTCATTCAGTCAACCAAAAGCTTATTTCCTCTCCTGTTACCCTTATCAGTCGTTTTTTCAGCAGGACTGTTGAACTTTCTTGTAATCTATGCTGAGTGTTAGCACAGTGTCTGTCACGTAGATATTCAATAAATGGATAATGGATTAATTAATGCCATGGAAATGGCCAAGTGGGATAGGGAGTAAGGACGAGGCAATGAGAATGAATGGTGTTTCTTTGGGCATTTAGAACTCCATCTTCAGATTGTTCCAATTTGCTGCGGCCCACTCCTCCAGTCAAGCATTTTCATTTCCTCAATCTTCCCTTCCCCTTCTAAGGTCCCCCCCCCCCCCCCCCGCAACTGGACTGGCCAGAGGACAGAGGAGTGAAAAACAAGGACGTGTGGCCCAGCTGGTGTTGCTCAGTGGTTGAGCATCGTCCCAAGCACCAAAAGGTCGCTGGCTTGATTCCTGGTCAGGGCACATGCCCAGGTTGTGGGCTTCATCCTCAGTAGGGTGTGTGCAGGAGGCAGCCTATTGATGTCTCTCTCATCAATGTTTCTATCTATCTCTCCCTTTCCCTTCCTCTCTCTCTCTAAAATAAATAAAAACATTTAAACAGAAGAAACAAGAAAGTGTGCAGGGAGTGAAACTGAGGTAAATGGTCCATTGGTGATTGCCAGATTTAGTTACCTGCATCTTTAAAAGGTAGCTGGTTAACTCAACTGACTGTTTCAGGTGGTACAGTTAAATACATTAACAAAATGAAGTCAAGATTTTCCTACAGCTTGAAGGAGATGCTTGTTTGTTTTATCAATGAGTGTTTACTTGAGAGCAAGGAGCCATCTTAGAACCCCTTAAATAACTGCACCTAAACACCCACTCATCTTATTTAGGGCCCTGGTTTTCTGCCAAAATGGAGGAGCAGGAAAGGCACCACTTCATTGGAAGTTTGAAAGCCAAAGCACTAGGGATGTTCTACAATACATTTATTTTATCCTAGCTCTGTTCACTTTTCTTTTATTTAAACCATTATTATCTCTCTCCCTCTCTCCCTCCCCACTGTGGCAGAAATCTTTCCCCCCCTAATTTTCAAGACCTTTATTATTTTATCCTGATCAGCAAGATGGAGTGAAATTCCTTTGTTCTTGACCAAGAAACATGTGTCATATAAAAGTCCCCTTATAACAACTTCTGCTGAATAGGCCCTCATGCCTGGGGATGTGCTCCTTCCAAAAAGAGGAACTGTAACAAAATGGGTTTCTATTTTGCATTTGGAAAAGCCCACCCAAAGCCATTTTTTTAAATATATTTTATTGATTTTTTACAGAGAGGAAGGGAGAGAGATAGAGAGTTAGAAACATCGATGAGAGAGAAACATCGACCAGCTGCCTCCTGCACACTCCCCACTGGGGATGTGCCCGCAACCCAGGTACATGCCCTTGACCGGAATCGAACCTGGGACCTTTCAGTCCGCAGGCCGACGCTCTATCCACTGAGCCAAACCGGTTTCGGCCCAAAGCCATTTTTACTGCATTGTAAAACTGCAGAGAAACACAAAACATAATCTAGCAAACACCCACATCCAGAATTGACATCATGGTAGTATAAAAGATACCTCAATTTTTTTAATATAGAAAATAAGATGTTATAGATCAAGCTACAATCCTCTTCACTCTCTTTCGCAGTTCATCCCCTCTTCCACCTTCCCAAGGCGATTTTATAGGTTT